AATAAAATTTCAAAAATCACAAATTCAGTTCCTCAGTCACGCTAAGCCATATTTCAAGTGCTCAATTACTGAATATGGCTGGCAACGACTGTATTGAATGGCACAGATATTGAACTTTTCCATTAGCACAGAAACTTTTATTGCACAGTCCACACAGTAGTTAATAGCTCTGGTGGTAAATCCAGATTAAAATCCTGATTTTTTCACACTTATTTACTGTATGATCCTAAGTAAGTTACTTAACATCTCTGAACCTCAGGTTAACCCTAGATAAAATAAGAATGGCATAGATAATGCGTATATAAAGAGCCGACCCTAGCTCCTGGCACATAATAGGCATGTTCGAAATATTACTTGTACCTGATACCTCTGTTCTCTGAATCCAGCTCCCTGTCTTCTAGTGACGCCATCATTCTCTGTCTTCCTCCTTTATCTAGTGTAAATTCATTTCAACCATATTTTCACCCAAACTTCGTTTTCTTTATGCACTAGTCATAGCCCCAACCCAACCTGCGATTCTACAAATTTGTTTTCTGATCCAGCTGAGTCTGCCAAACCTTGTTGGAGGAAATCATTTCACCATTGAGATCATCAGCCTTCTAAATGGGCAGCGTTCAGGTTCATCTGGTTGACCTCCAGGCAACTTGGCAAGCCTTTGGCTACACCTCTTTGGCTACTTTTTCCAGTTTTGATAGTACCTGTCTTAAATGCAGTCTACTTCCCAGATCCTTACCTCCCCTCTGTAACAGCAGATGATTGTCTCCAGAGATAAATTCATTGAACTTCCATCTCTTACATCTCCGACTGTATATTTTTTATTTACAGGGTCCCCCAAATGTCAGTATTGGGACCAGCATAAGGCTACTTTAGAAGCACTCGAGTAATGTTAAAAAAAAAAAAATACACCTACGTGGACCTGACTCCAGCCTACTGAATGAAAATCTTTAGTTCTGGAAATGGGGGAATCTGTGTTTGTTTAAAGCTCCTCAAGTAATTGTGTGACCTAATTAAGTTTGGGAGACACCTCCAAAAGAGTTGTGGACACCTTTGCTCATACCTTCTGATTGTTTTTCATGCTTTTTAATATTAATCTGGCTGCCTCTATTTCTTCCCAGCAGTTGCCAGGGAGGCTAGCCTGCGCTTTGCAGAGCTCTTCAGTGAGTCATTAGAGCATCTGTCTTGCCTGTGGTCATTACACTTAATCTCTCCTTGCAGGAACTGTTAACACACTGCTGTTGGTGGCATGCCAAATTTGAGAGCAGCTAGAATAGCTCCTTTGCTGTGTCCTGGCTATGCTTCAAGACTTCATTCTTGGCCATCTTGTCTGACCATAAACATAAACTGTAGGTCACAGATGACACTGGTGGAAGAGTTCAAGCAGCCGGAAGTGTAATCTCAGGAAGATGGTTTGGATGTGAACATTGCTCTGTAAAACTTTTAATTTGATTCAAAGTGTTTTCTTCTGGGCGTTACATTTAGCATTCCAGAGAAAAGAAGGACATTCAATGCAGTTTTAAAATATTTTTATCTATTAGTGTGTTGTATATATAATTGATAGTGAGTTTCTTTGGACCCAGTTATCTTTTAGTGCTTCTCAAAAACTTAAAATGTCACTGATAAAAGCAAACATTTCAGTCAAAATAGCTAAATGGTCAAAAATCACCATATAATTAGCAGATCAACATATATACAAATATAGATATTTGTATAGTATTATATTCTATATTTATATGTATACTATTAATATATAAATATATATTAATATAAATACCACTATTATGTTTAACAAAAACATTTATCACAATTAAATTATACATTACATAGTAGAATGTATCCTAGTGGAAGTATAATGAATAATCATAGAGTTATGGAAATAATGGATTCAGAAACAACTAGAAAATCATAAAAAGTCGGAGAGTCTTGATTCAAGTCTCAGCTGAGAATATTACTTCCTGTGTGGCCTTGAGCAGGTCACTGAACATTTCTGAGCCTTAGTTTCCTCATCTTCAAAATGATCTTTCAGAAGGTTGTTGTGGGGTTTAAATGGAATAAATGATAAGTGTTAACACATTATGATACATTTATTGTTCTTTCTAAGATCAAAAGGCACTATACAATTTTGAAATATCTCCTAAATACTCTAAGAATGATTAAGATATGTAGCACTTTAGGATAATGACTCGCTATTATCCATTTTAGTATCATTGGAAGATTATCATATAGTCTATATTAAATCTTATTGAATAAATGAAGTGTAATTTATTAAATTCTTCATTTCTGAAAACTGGTAATTTATGGTCATGGATGTTTTGTGTTTTTCTGATAACCAGAACATTTAAGTCAGAATTTTGTTTTTCCTCAACAATGCCATCTGCTCTTTTTCTTTATTAAGTAAAGGCCAGTTTTCATACTTTTCTTAATATATTTGACATTTAAATTTTTGATGTATGATTTAATTTTTATTTGGGATAATTATGATGAATACTAGCACATTTGCTAAGCTCTTGTGTTGTGAAAGACACAATGTGCAGCGTTTTATATATATTAACATATTTCATCCTCACATCAATTCTATGAGGCGGCTGTTATCCCCATTTACTTATGAGAAAATTAAGACACAAAGTAGGTACCTTTCCCTAAAGTCATTCTTTAAAAGAGGAATTGGAATTTGAACCCAGGCCGTCTGATTCCAGAACCTAGTCTGTCACACTTAAGCCATGCTCCATTGCTAACATTGCATAATCTCCTGCAAATCTGCTTGTGAGCATTCCCAGAATGCAACCTTTGGGTACCATGGTTCTTGGGGGGGGTTAATTTGGGGTTCTTTGATATCAATAGCAACCATACAATTGAAATTCTCCTGGAGCCCCGATAGTACTAACTTGTTTTTCAGTTTTTCAGACACACCCTCAAACATAGTTATATGTAAATCAACTAGGCAACCTTTGTTTTCAAGCATTTGATGGCCAGAGATATAAAAGAAAAAATAATGGCCCATTCAAGAGAGTGATTTACATAGATTCCCAACAAGGATAAGTTGCCCTTTCTCATCAGAGTGTAATTACGAGGAGTAATTGGTTTTTAAAATTACATCACAATTTTATGTAGACATTTCTATGTGCAGGTTATGTTTGTTGTATTTTGCAATCTTGAGCTCTTAAATACTAGTAAATAACCTAGTTTAGTTAAATTGTTATTAGATCATCATGGAAATTCATGTTTTTGTTGAAACAGAAGCAGAATTGCACATTGAATT